TATCAGGCCGTTCACAAAAGATTCGATTAAATCCGGATCATTCAGAATGTGGTACCACACTGCCTGCATAAGCTCTCGTTTCAAATGAGATAGAACGTCGGAAGTTGGAAGTACACCATATATGTCCTTGTAAGCTGTTTTTATTGAATGTGGAAACTAAGAATATACTAAGCAAAAACTCAAATGAATTAAAATAAATACTTACAGAGGGTATGTACGCAATATGACATTCCTGAAATGCGAAAGGTTTGAGACCAACATACTTCGATAAACTCCCAAAAAACATATAAATGGGCCAAAGACTAATGTTACCAATCATCGAGAGAACTGTAGAGTCGGAATAGAGTTTAATGGGAAGAACAACAGTCTCAACCTCTGGTCCAGGTAAAACAGGCCCAGACCTAATTTCCCTCTCCATCTCGAGCATCCTGTCAGAGGTATAAGCCTCACTATAGAGGCGTTGGGGAGGTGTATCTTCAGACCTCTTCCAAAACAGTTTGTGACCCTGGAGATGAAAGCTGGAAGAGGAAGGATCCTGAAGCGCTTCTTTGATCACCTCAAGAGGCTTTCGATAATAGAAACCGTCTATAGTGAGCTTTGATGCATTGTCTTCCGATGCAAAGCTAGAACGAGCGTGTGGAAGTGGAATCAAAAGGCTGGTATGGTACCAACCATCCCGAAGGGAATGGGGAATAGGGGTACTGTCTTCATTCTCTTCAACAGGTCCGTTAGACTGCCCAAGGAACCCATCCAAATGTTTAACCTCTCTATTTGCACTAAAACCCACGAAATCCGACTGTTTGAAATCCTCTTGTAGAATAACATCGTGGACAAGACTATCAAGCATGTTGAGGGAAGACTTGGGAAAGCGATAAAACCAGTCCATCAAACGGAAAATGTTCACATTCACAAATGGTGCAGGAACGGTCTCGGTATCTGGGTTTTCGTCAAAGCGGACACCAAAGCAGTCAGAATAGGTCCGAGCCGACTCGGTAGTAAAGCATGTAAAGGTAGGGGCATCCGCAGTTTGTTCGAGATCTAAAAATTCGTCTGGATCTGCAGAGGGAATAGTTGACTCAAAATTTTTGAAAGCGCTGTACTTGTCCATGCTCGTTTGGTAGTAAAAGACAACGGTCTGGGGTTGGTCATCCTCAGGGGGATCTAGGAAGGGGTTTTCTTCTTGCTCGACAGGATCAAGGACAGTTGGAAAAAGTGGTGGATCCATAGGAGTAGACCCTCTTTCGGAACGAGACGAAATGACCAGATTCTGGTATCTTCCGGGAAGACTTCTTTTACTACACGAGGATAGACGCAACGTTTGTTGTCGAGTCTGCTCGTCCGGAGTCTAGTAAGTAAAAGGAAAGAAAATTTAAATGACAACAATTAAAAAGCAAATCACTAATATAAACACACGTTATCCAATATGTCATTGTCTCTACTATCCAGCAAATCCGTCTCCAATTCCTCAGACACCACTTCTAACACCGTATCCTGCTCTCCGTCTATTACTTCATCCTGGCTGAGTTTGGCGCGTTTTTTCGGTCTTGGTGGTGGAGCGTTGCGGTAAGAGCAGTGTTGAGCCCAGTGTATATTCCGATCTCTTGAGTTTTTAAAATCACGCTCACAAGGAGCGCATCGAGGGACGGTCGAACAGTTGGGTATTTGGAAAGCGCTAGGTGCTCAATATTAATAACATTATGTACGTGTCTTTGCATTCACGTGATCTTTTGAACCTTGTTTATTAATGTCCACGTCGCTCCCTCATCCTCCTCCTCTCCTCAGAAACGGCATGCAAGGTTAAATATACAAGCAGCCTCGGTCTGTATTTTTTTTCCTTTCAAGTAGTCGTGATTTGACTGGGCCCACAGACATTTAGTGCAAGAGATTTATCTCATCGTTTTATTACAATGTTACAACAAGAACACGTTCGGCGTGTCCTGAAATGAAATATGTAGAGTGGCTCTACTTATGAATCACTCATGGTCATGACAGGGCTATGGAGGCGTGTATGCAACTGCGCCCTCCGATTTCAATTTCGTAAATAAACTGTCTCTCACAGCACCATCATCTACTGACACCCGCACCTCGTCTTTCTTTTATTATTTCAGGAAGCAATCCTCGTCTAATAGTGGCAAATTCTCTCTCTACTGCTCTCCTTCCAACCTCCCCAACACTATCACCCAACATTGCCTCCCGAATGATCTGGAAAATGACGCTGCACTCTTTTTTTGAAGGTATGTGTACGGTTTCAGTTTTTTTTTTCTTAATCGCTACACTCGAAAGTTTTCAGTAGTACGCTTTTCTGCGAGAAGGCTTATTCAAAGCTCCCGTCCCATCCGAATTGTTCTACCTTTCCTTTTTACGGGCAGCTCAAGATATAGGTTGAGCAGCAGCTGCCGTATTCTATGTACGCCTTCCCTATAGCCTTTTTACAACTCCATATTCACTAACGAATTTACACCTTGAAAAATACGTATGATCCAGAACCCCACTTCCTACCAACGCCAAACCCTCATACTTATCTCTGGCCGTTACTCCCTCTCCGACCTAGACTTGACCCATCTAAAATCTACAAACGGGAACCCACAGACGCCCGTACTCGGTTACATTCCCAAAGTGTCTTTTGATATGTTCAATCCGTCCATCTCAAAAACCTGCAAACTCACATATCTCCCTGCAGCGGCATCCGCTTGAGCAGTTGCGGTTAGATACAAGCTATTTTTTAGCTCATCTCCAACTCTGATCTCCAGGAAGGAATCAGCTCAATGTGCTACTTCGACATCCAACTCCCAATCTACGTTGGATGCCACCAACCTCTATACTTTCTCGACCGAGACTCCCTTCCTCGCTCTATTCGTTCCCCCGCGTTCCCAATTTGCCGACCTTTCACAGGTTGATCACATAAAGCGAATGCACAATTACGAACCGCGCTTTTTAGCATTGACATTCATTTTCCTCGTGACATTGACTTAGCGTCTGTCACTGTGAGCAGCTAAGCGCTGCTCGCAACTTACACTCAGGCGCTGTGATACCTAGAGAACAAAAAGGAGGATCAGAGGTACGTCTTCTTGTCCCTTTGCGCTGTATAAATCTTTTTCTAATGATGTTTCTTTCTTTTCCCTTAGCCCTCACCAATGACGTTAAAACTCTGAGCTACACTCAACTCCGTTCGCGCTCGCAAGGCCGCGCTACAAGCCTCTGCTCCTTCTACTACTACTTCCACTACTGGAACCCGTTCAACCGTCGTCCTGGTGCTACTTTGACTTGTTGCACTCTTGCTACTACCAAAACTACTACTACTACTTCCGTCCTTCAACCTCGTCAACGTGCTCCCTGTCCCACTGCCCCCAAGACCGCCTCCGCTTTCGCTCCTCGCACTCTTCGCAGCAAAGCTGAGTCTATATACAAACCTCAGCCAACTCCAACTCCTACTACTACCCTCAGGACTCTCGCCCCAAAATCAAAATACACATATGAGGGAGACGAGACGGGTGTCAAACGTGACAATGGCATCCACTGTAATCTCACCCTCCTATTCGGTGACCATCGCTCCTGCTCTCCTCGAGGAACTCAAGAAATCCTGGACCCGTTCCCAAGAAACTCGATGCTGCTGGTGCGCTGTTTCTCCTTCAACTCACTTAACGTTCATGACTCATCTTGACTCTATAGCCGCCAAAGAATCCATTCCGAAGGTCTCCTAGATTGACAATGAGCCCGAGTTCCGCTGGGCATTGTTGCAAGACCCGAGCACAACGACCATTCCACTATCACCCCTCGATCCTCACCCAACAACCCAAATCTCCATTTCCTCTCCTCTTGTGACCCAACCCGCTCCAACGGAACCCGTCCTTTTCACTACACTTTGTTTGCTTGTTCGACTATTGTCATTTTTTCTTTATTCTTTCCTTCTCTCTTGGCGAGAGAAACCATCTCCTTCTTGGTGAAGAATGAACCTACGCTTGAAGCGTAATTTTGTTTACATCTATCTTATTTACATACTCCACTCTCCCTTTCTGGCGCACGTTGGTATTCGGTACTATGCGTATTCACCCTTTGGCGGTATTTGGTACTACAAAGGTTGACCAGTCGTTCTTAGCTCGTCGGTATGCGGTACTGCGAGTGAATTCCTTTCTTGGTTGTATTTCTCTAGTCATTGACTACGGACCTGTAATAAAATACAGCTTGAGAGGTGTCAGTGTGTGCCTGCCTTCTTGCGGCCTCTCAGCTGAACTTCATTGTATGTATGTCATGTCAGCTAGGCCAAGTCACGCGTCAAGTCGCACACGGATGAACCACGTGATCGCGTCCCTCTTCCCTTTCGACCATCACCTTCCCCATGCCCCGAGGAACTGTTCGCGGCCGTTCTGTTGGAAACGCTGCCAGAGGCGGTGTCCGTGCTCCTGGAGGAGCTTCTCGTGGCCGTGGTCCCCTCATCTCCGCTCATGTCCCCACCCCTCAGAAAGCGTTTCTTTGAAAGGTGAGTCCCGCTGCCAACTGGAAAACTTTACAACACACTAAAAATTATGCTATTTAATGCAGATGTCTGTTCCAGCCCCTTCTAGTTGGCCACAACATCACCTGGTGTATGTGGAATGGTTTTCAAAACCATTGCCGAGTAGCAAAAATGCCGGACATGGCTTATTTTCTGTTACAAAAAGTGCGGACTCAGAGGGTAATCCAAGTGGGGGTATTGTTTCTTTACCAGAGATCAGACAGACTTGTATGCTGGTTCCTGATTACTCTTCAAGGGAGCAACCATTAAGTTGGTCCTCCATATCGGCTCTGGACCAATGTAAAAAGTTCCTCTTCAACCCTTTCCAATCACGATATTCTTACATGACCATATACTAGCAGTACTGGTTGCATAGTGTACTAAATTCAATACAATGGCCAGATTTAAAGATTTTAAACGTTGAAAAGCAACGAAGAACCGTGAAACAGTGTGATGAGCCTTTCCACTGGGCATAGACAATGTTATGGAGGGAAAAAATATGACACAATTAGAGCTCCTGGAATCGAACCAGGCGCTGCTGTGACAGGACTGCGATACCCAGCCGTGATAACCTCTACACCAAGCTCTCGTTTATTTATGGCCAATGAACTTGATAAGGCGAGCACTGCTAAAAGGAAGGAAAGAGGAATCACAGAAGCAAAATTGTCAAATTGAAGTGGACCAGTAGCCTCAGTCAATGGATTAAAATAAAGTCGGCCAAAATGCCCAGGTTGAGATAGACTCAAGCAAAATGGACTCAAAATGGTCAAAAGTGGAATCACTCAACATAACACTGAAAGGCATCCAGGAGACATGGAGATGGTATTTGCACTACAAGATAAAAACACAAGTACAACATAAATATTTATCAATATAATTTACAAGTGTACATATATGGCATAATAGTATATGGGGGTGGCAAGGGAAATGACAGCAACATAGTAGTACAACTAAAGTGTTCAAAATTTGCCAGGAGACTTGCGATAAGATGATGGCCCAGCTAGAGGCCTGGCAGATTAGGCAGGGTGAGATATTAGTTGGCACATCCTTAGAGTGCATTTAGTGGTATAGAGACTGGACATAACCAACCTGTGAAAAATGGCAGTGCTTGCCAGCAGGTGTCCTTGTGACTGGGTGAAAAGTGTAGCTCAGGATGACTGAGGACGGTCCAAAAAAAAAGTGTAGGGGAGATAATACGCCTCAGGCAATCATATCATGTATTTTGCCAGAGTCTCCAAGCAGCATTTCCTCTGAAGCATCTCCCACTTCTCCCTCTCTGATGTCATCTTAGCACTACAACATCCAACAAAGGGGATGCAAAAGCCTTTGAAAGCCTATGCCAAGGCCTGATTCAAGGGAGAATTGCCTCAATGACCACCTCTCTGGTATCTACTTGTTGTGTCTTTCCCTCTGATCTTTGATGCTCTAGTCAACGAACATCCATGGTTACTCCACTCTGTGACAGAAGATAGTTATTCCAATGCTTCCCAGCCCTCTGCTTAACTCTCTGGTCCAATTTCAGCCAGACCTGTCCAGTCCTTTCCCCCCCCCAGGACTCATGATTATCTGTCACTAGATAATGAACAAATGTAGGAGGAGACTGTAGCAGGACCGAGAAGCGTGGGATCAGTCACGTGACTCCAGAGAGAGAAAGGACCTAGAGGCTGGATCTACATCACATATCCAGAAGGGGGTGTCAGTACAGCTGTACAGGAGTGAAACTGCGTTGATAACGCACTGGGAGCAAGATATCCAACCAACAAACACAATAGGACAATGTTCTGAGGTGTTAGGCTGATATCTGTACGCTCTGGGGTGTTAGCAACGTTCTAACACACTGTAGAGACGAGCTTACCAGCTACAGTGTACACAGAGTGAGCCAATAACGAAGCTGTACACTGTACTGTGACTGCAGACAGGTATAGAGTGATTAGAGCGGTCTAAACAAACGAAATGCACTATGGATGTCCTCACCAGTCTTGCTTTCAATGGAGGGGAAGACAGAGAGATGAGGGAAGAAAGCAAGCAGCTCCAGATCCTCTAATCTTCGTCCATCAGTAGGCCTGCTCACTCATGTGGCACCCACTGATGGGATTATAGGGTCTAGTGACTGGGTGAGATCCAGCTGATTCCGGGGCGGACCGGACACCAGTGTGGGTGCGGAAGACGAGAAACAAGTGTCCGGAGCGGTCCAGACCTTGTGAACAAGTCCAGGAACAAAGGGAGAAAATAAAAGTCTTTCCAGATCAAGAGGAGAATAGTAGGTAAAAGTGTACATAGCGTCCGCAGATATGGATCGATTAGGCCAGGAATTGAAGCTATCGTTGTTAAGAGTATTAAAAGTAATCTGCAAACAGGGGAAACCCTACATTGCGCTAGAACGAGCATAATAACAAAAATGAAAACGAAAGCTTTTTAGCTCGAGTTGAGAACAAAACACAAAACATGTCTCTATGACCCCAGATCATGGCCTGAAGGTGTGTGGGGTTGTCAACACTTTGTAATAATGTGAACAATGATTTGTGATCGGGACAAGCGCATATATCAAATAGGGAATGTGCAATGAACGAAAATAAGATGAAGTCAAACTGGACTGAGTTGAGAACATTTGCAACAATCTAGACAAGAGGTGCTATAAGTGTCCCAAGTATGTCTAGATTGTTGCAGGGGTATCTGTTGTGTGCAGGGGCCTCCAAAAACACTCCCTACCCTTGGAATCCACCTTCATGTCGAGGCCAGACTATTTCAGGTGCCCTCATTGTGTTTATGAGCACTTGTCCTTTTCTTGGTGCTCTCATATAAAATAAAGAGTGGTTGGCTAGCACAACCAACCGACACGCGCACGCTTAATAAGCCACACGTGGCAATGGTTTGCTCTGCGCAAGGTCTCTATTACCTACAGTTTTATAAACTTTTACCCTTGTCCCCTCATTTTATTTGAATTGAGCTTGGCTTTGCCGCTCTGATTACACCTCACGTCATCGCATATGTTCAGATAGGTGGTCATGCACCTTCCATGGGTGGAGAAATTTCTACGTTCACAGACCTAGGTTCTGATATGTATTGGCCTCACTCTCGTAAATTCTTGGAGGCTGTTCAAAGACAAGACTCATCTGTCAGTTGAACAATTACAAGCCTTCCTTGAGACACATTTCATCTAGGCCACAATATCTCCCTTGGTTGGATTAGTCATACAGGATCCACAGAGAATCCAGATCTTGAGTTTGAGGAGCATGGAACTCTTGCTGAGATTGAGTGAGAAAGCCTGGTGACTAGCCTTCTATTCCCATGTGCCACTGTCAAGAAACAGCACAATACTCCTGGCCAAGCATCTGCAGTGCTCAATGTCTATATATACTATCAGGTGAGCAACAACACTCTAAAGTTTGCATGGCCCTAAATGTCATACAAGACTTCCACCCAAACAGTATGAAACAGAGATTCTTTGTGAGCAGTGGCAGTATACCTTCTCCATTTCCAGAAAGGGTTTCCTTTCCAGGAGAGTCTCAAGACAAGGCCACCTCTGCTGGCAATACCTTCCCAGAGCAGCCTCTCAACTCTCATTTTCTAACCCCTGTGGACCTCAATAACATGGATCTCAACAATCCCTTGTCACCCATGTGCAAGCCATCATCCTTGCCAGCATCCAGTCATTGCTCCAGACAGGTCTGTTCCGTGGCTTGCTCCAGACAGGTCTGTTCCGTGGCTGCCAGCCTCTTAAGGGTATTGGTCCCTCCCACTACAGCTGCAACATCTGGTAATAATTGTGTCCATGCTTATCTTGACAACTGATATGGGGACCAAAGACAAATTTTGGATGACTTTTCTGAATATGGTGGAGCATATCAAGAAGTGTTTCAGGTGCATGTTGTTGGTGTGGTTATCAAAGGGCTTGCATTGCAGTATGGCAGCAGCCAACCATTCAAGACCTTACCACACTCACTGGAGCACACATCATCATCCACGCAAACAATGTCATTGGATGGACATGTCCATGGTTCAGAAGCTCCTTTGGGCAGTACAGAACACATATTGCACTGTTTACCAGAGCCCTTACCAAGCTTGTGCAGAAATCTGCACAGTCCAGCTTCACAAGTGATGAAGAAAGCTTTGTGTATCAATGGCTAAAGCTCATGCTTGAAGAGAACAGGGTCTTGAAAAAGTGTTGGCAACAAGACAAGATTTATTATCTGGAGCCTGCTCGGAGGCTCATTGTGCTGCAATAGTATGGTCTTCAGGGGATGCGGTAAAAGCATGTGACACTGTTGATAAAAGTCAGACACTTCATGCCAGGGTGTGACATGGAAAGTACTTTCAAAGGTGGATTGATCAATGTAGTCACTACAATATATGTGTTTATGATATGTTATACTGCTAAGTATCTAGTTAGAAAAATGTCTAACTTGTATTGTAGTCAATGCACTGTATCAAGTTTGAGACAACTGCAGACATGTTAACACAAGCTCCTTCTGTTCTAATTGATTTTTTTTGCAGCATGACCAGTCACATAAAGTGAGCAAAGGTGAAGCAGATTGAGAAGAGTATGGGAAGTGGCAGAATGCAACAATGTGCTGGCAGATGATGTGTGATATCATGGGTGTTGCAGAGGGCCTATGACATTACTGTGCTCTTTGCTGTCACATGTTTTGTCTTAAGTCAGCAAGAACATACATTATACCTTATTGAGATACTTGCTCAAATCACTTGGAACTCATGGAATTCCCTTCAACAGAGACCTCCCATTTCCACTGACTGGAAGAAACTTGATTGAAAAAACAGGCCATCTGCTCAGTTTTCTATCAAGTCCCAGCCCATTCCAAGATACCTCAACCTCATGGCAAAATTTTTTGCATGGTCTTGAACAACTCTTTAGAGGGGATTCAAAAACTCCATGACCTTGCTTGTACTATGAAAACTCCAACAACTGGTGAGTTTTTCTTTAAATTTCTTAATTTTTTATGTGACATTCTTTGCATAAGGGGTTATTGAGCTGTTTCCCTCAAATCTTGGTCAAAATGCAGGTATTGTTAAATTTACCTAAATCTTTTGAGAGTATTATTTTGATTAAATTCTGTTTCTTTGCTAGTGATCTTGCTGAAAAGGTTCTATTGAGGAAGTTACAAGAAGATATATTAGGCCCAGAAAAGAAAAGAATGGCCTGTAAACCCTGTTATAAGGATGGTAACTGGATTGGTGGCCTTCATTTTGAAAGATCATGAAGAACTGTCAATCTTAAAAATGGAAGGATAGAATGGTGGATTTATAATGAACAACTGAGGTAAAAAATTCTTGAGTATGATATTTCTAATCCACAGGGTTGATATTGATGCACATATGATATGACTGATTAATTTCACAGGATGCTACCTCAATTTGTATTAAGGGCATTTCCAAAGGAAACTGTGATCTAGAAATGGCAACTGAAAAGCAAGCAGAGTATGCTAACTCAGTCGAACTGGATACTCATCAAAATACCTATTGGACTGCTGCTCAGCTCAATGTTGCTGGGATACCATCAGACCAGGATAAAGAGAAGGTATGAATCAATTCACTTTAATTTTCATGTTTTCCTGGAATTGAATTATTTTA